GCATGCACCTGGATCGGCGGCCTGGTGAAGAGGCTGCAAAAGCTGGAGGTGGCTGATGGCACCCTGAAGGAGCCTCCACCATCCCATCAAAAAGTGGCCCTTCGCGGGCAGGTGCCATACAAAAACGTGGCGCGTCTCTGACACGAACCTTATAAGCGCAGCAATGCTCCTCGTAAACCGTAAGCCCAAGCCCTGAGCCCTAAACTGCCTTAAGCCTGAAGCGCTCCAGCGACTTATGCGGAAGCCGAGAGCAAGTCCCAGGGCCACAACTTGGCGTCGCTGCAACATCCCAGCGACGAAGCAGTGTGGGCCATCATGCACAAGCAGGGAGCAGATCTCTTCATGAGCTCATGGATCACACTAGTCCATGCTGCATTGTTGTATAGGAGCTTTCTAAATAGAAGTGTCGCTCGCCATACCCCAAAATGTAGTAGATTCTAATAATGTACTTTAGAATCACGTGTATACCCCCAGCTATAGTGAATCCTCCTTTTCGTCCCAGATAGAGGAGAAGCTCCTGAAAGGGACTCCTCATTTGCATAGCATTGGGGTTGTGAAGGTCCTTCTGATCTGGCAAAGCTAGCGGCTGGCAAGCCTTCCTTAAACTAAACCTTAGAAGCCCTAAAGCCTGGAACCACGAATCGAGAGGAGCTCGACCTCAGCGCAAATCCTTTGGAGGCACGTGCTGAGCCGTGTTAGGTGGTCTCTGTTGTAGGTCGTATGCCCTGAATCCCTAAACTCTCCGCCGCCCTAAACCCTGAATAGCAGAATCCTCCACCCAACCACAAACTGAACCCTCAAACCCTCGTAGTGTTTCGGTAATAGAGCTTGGCGTGTAGATCGAGAGGTTGGGAACCTTTCGTGCAGCAGAGGTGAGTCGATTGCATCCAGCTGGGGAGTTAAGGGATTAGAGCTTGTTCCAATATCCCTGATGTGGGAATGTTTCGTCAATTGTAGCAGAAATCCTCATATCGAGGGATATTGGAGTCTCTGGGTTAGGCCCTCTTGACCCCTATAAACGCTTGCATATAAATCCCCGCAAGGCCCTCAAAACCCCGAGAATCCCCCGAACCAACAAAAGACCCTAAGACCCTAAGAACCTAAGACCCTGAGACCCAAAGACCCGAAGACCCGAAGACCCTAGAACCCTAAGACCCCAAAACTCCACAGAATGAGAGCCAGGAGCTTCCTGAAAGCCTTGGGGAGCTTGAGATGCTCGAGGCAGGATAAGTTCTGGCGGCCTTGCGATTTTTTTAAGATTTCGGGCGCAGGGCAGCTTTGCATGGCTGGTCGCAAGTAGGGGCGCGAAGCTGCCTTCCTGTGAGTCCGCAGACGCCACGATTTCAAGAGCCCCTTCGAACACTTTACTATCCTATCATATATTGTACTATACAATACTATAGTGCGCTATAGTTACTCGGGTGTTTTGTAGGGTTCAAAGGTTGGGTGTTCTTCCAGCAGAAATTGCCTATTGAATCCATATGTCTGACCAAAAGCCCTCGACCCCAAACCCACCCTAAACCCCAACCCTTTTCGAAGGCAAGCTTGCTGTTGGCCCTTGGAAGTTGCAAGTCAAATTGAGGAATGCGTATCGGCTGGCAGGTAGATTCTGCTTGGGGTTTAGGGCCTATAGGGTATTGGGGTCGAAAGCTTTAGGATTCTTATGCGCGTGGGTAGATGTCGGATTTCGCCCTCAAGTCTACACGTGAGCCCAGCTGCGTCAGCTAGATCCGCGTGGGACCCAAGCTCTTAGACCCCTCAACCCCTCAACCTCTAAACCGCCCTGATTCCACACAACAACCCCAAACCTACGCCCCAAAGGTGCTTTTTCCACAGTTAGGGTACCTGTTTTTGGGGTTCCTGTGTTAGGGCATTTCTCCAAACGGGCTCCCCCCCAATTTTCGGAACCCCCCCCGACCCACACCGCTAAAGCAGGAGCTCCATCTGCACATGACCAAGCTCTCGGAGCTTCCAGAGAGCATCCTGCAGCTGAAGCACACAGGTGCCAAATCTTTTTCGGAGCTGGGGGGGCGTTGGGTATACAGGATACAGGATACAGGGTTGAGGGGTTGGGGTCTCAAGGGCTTCAAGGACCTGAAGGGTTTTGAGGGTTTTGTGTTTCAGGGATCGGGTCTTAAGGAGTGTACGCTTCAGGGACTTGGGGCCGCAGAGAGCCCCCTGTGGTTACCAAGGAACCCGACCCCATTTCTAGACCTCCACATCCAGAACATGGCTGGATGGGCCTGGGCATTGAAGAGGTCATTGATTCGTTTTACCTTAAGCAAACCCAAACCATTTCATCTCCAATGTCGCATCCCCAGTCTTGTAGATCCTGCTTGAGAGCCCGACATGGCCCTCAAGCCCAGACCCGTATATCCATCCACCGTAGAGGTGATGAGCACTACGTGTTTAACAGTTGTCTAAGACCTCTTTTGGACTTCAAGGACTCCTGTGTGAGTGCCAAGTGCTCGCAGGCACCATCATCATGACCGACGCATAGCGGCCGTGCCAGGATGTGGGGTCTGGGAATCTAGGAGCGAGTGGAAGTGCAAGGTATTGGCCTGACGATGCGCATCTGCGGTAGGTATGTTCTCATAAGCAAGGGATTATAAGGCTTTGGCTCCCTGCACCACGGTAAGCTTGTGTGGGCTTGAGAGCCCACGCCCTTCTGTCTATCAGCAGAACTCGGCATCCTAACAGCCTGCAACCTGTGACACCCTAAACCCAGAGACCATGAGCCTCATGTAGTTGCTTCAAAGGAAGCAGTGGCCATCCGGCCTTCGGCCACGTAGTGTAGGACTCTGTAAGTCCTGCAAGCGCTTTCAGGCAAGATCTCGCCAGCTCCAGCGCAGAAAAAGCCACGCATCCGCTCGCAGGATCCCAGAGGTCTTTGAGGGTTTTTTGTAGGGAATGGAAGGCTGTGTGGTGAGGTTGGAGGCTTCCCGCAGGATCGACAACCCCAAAAGCACTCAACCCAAAGCGCATACAGCAGTGGCAGTTATTTGGCTTCGCTTTGGGTTCTCTCGTTGGAAATCAAGAAGGGATCATAAGTTCGAGCAACCCTAGCACCCTAAAGCCCAGCGGGGGTTCCGGGTTCAGGGTCTCGTCTTACCAGGTGCGGCAAGACACACAACAACATCAATCACTCTCGCAACAGGACATCTCCGCATCTTGCCTGTGTGCTCCTCCGAGACCCTAAACCTAGACGCCAAAACCTTGAGCCTCAAATCCCAAATCTTCAATCCCAGACCCTAATTCCTGCGTCCATTACATCCTAAAGTCCTCAACCCTAAGCGCCTTCAAGCCCCACGACCCTGCCTCTCCACACCAGCCATAGCTTCGAGCAATTTTTGTTGCCGAGGTTTACTTCTGCGTTGACCCGTGGCCATCCCAGTTCTTGCATGGGGGGGCTCACCCTAAGCTCCCGAGCCACCCTGAGCCCTAAATCCTCAACCGTCAGCGGAGGCTTCTCAGTTTAAAATCAGGGTTCGGGGCTTAGTGGCTCTGATGCACCATGGCCTTAGTGCCATGGTTTAGGATGGGGGGAAGCAACTGAGGGGTTCAGCTGCACAAGAGTTGGTGGGGTCGTTCTCACCGGCGGTAAAAGTAGGGTAACTTGGGCTGGAGGAACGGTCCAGGGACGGTTATTTAAACCGTTTGTAACCTGATTCGGTGTACTTCAACCCGGCTTAACAGTAAGGAGACAACAGCAGAAGGCAAGCAGAAATTTGACTCTGTCTACTGCCTCCAAATTAGGACCCAGTGGTTCGTGTTTCCTTTTTCCATATTTTGTGTGTGTGGGGCCGGGGGTTTAAGATTAGGTTTGAGGCTGAACCTTAGCCGTCAAACACAAGAAGATCCCAAGCCCCCAGCCCAAAAGGCCCTTCGGGCCCTGAACCCTAAACCCCTTTAACTTAAACCTTAAGTCAAATTGCCGGACGGAAGGTTTGCATTCATGATCTACAAGGCGCAGTAGCACATGTCTCTACAAGAGGACCAAGCTCCTCCAGGGTAGAGGGTCTTTGTTTGCGCTCAGCTGTTAAAGAAAAGGTGGTTTCAGGGTTTACACATGATTTAGGCTTAGTGGTGTCATTTCTGGGTGCTTAGCGTTGTCGCTTCTCAGGCATTTTGTAAGACGGAAGTAGCTGCGGTGGATCTTCAAAGCTTTTTCATCTTTCATTTTTGGGTTTTGCCAGGCGCTGTTAGAGAACTTGACAGGGTTGCCTTGTGAAGGTTGTGACTCTACGGTTTTGCGTTTTAGCAGCGTCGCAGGGTTTCAGGCTTCAGGGTCAGCAAGTGCTTTGGGTTTTGGAGTCTGGAACGTTTCAGATCCGTGGTTCCTCAGCGGCAGCCAGGTCGTCACACATCCTCTGGTAACCTGCAAACCTACATCCTGAACCAAAAGCCTCCCCTCAGTCGCGGCAGCCCTCGTTGGAAGGACATGTTGCATGGTGACGGCTTCTGTGACGCTGGCAGTGGGCGGGCGCGAGATGCCCAGATACCCTGTCACCCTGTCCTTTTGGCAATGAAATAGTTGTCTATTGGAGCAGCTTGTGGCACACATCAGCATTGAGCCCGAAGCTTGAAGCCTTAAATCCCTGAGCCCTTAAACACCCAACATGTCAAGGGCGTGAATTCAAATTCTTGTCACTCTGTCCAGGAGTCAAGAGAAGCGCTACCCCCGCAAATCAAGCGGAGTTTCCACGACCGTCTGCAGTTTCCCTCCTTTCCAAGCCTTTCAGGGCCTAGGCTTTAGAGTTTACAGATTTAGGGGCTCAGTCGGGTTCAGCATGTGTGGCCTGGGGGAACAGCGCGTTGTGGGGGAGGCGTAGGCAGTTTCACCGCATCAGCTGCTTTAGCTTCTTGCGCGGAGGTAGCTGTGTATTCACGTTGCTGCACTGCAGAATCCCTCATCCCTGCGCTGAGTTTGTAAACCCTAAGCCCCAAATCCCAAACCCTAAGCCCTTCAATTCTAAAGTTTGGGGGAATTGCCAGAACCGAAAACTCCCGGGTCATTTCGGGCAGTTGGGTTTCGGGCTCCGGGCACTTGAAGTTTTGTGGGTAGAAATATGTAGGGCTTGACAGTGTCCCATGGCGAGTTCGAGCTATCCCTTGCCCTACGTCTCACCCCGCAAGAACTACCCATGAGCCTCCAAGTACGCTAGAAGTTGGCCCCACGCGAGCAGACACTGCCATATCATCTAGGTCTAGCTAGGACCCTGGAACATGTTGTAGTTCTCCTTCTTTGATTTAAGCGGGTCTTATTTGGGAACATTCAGAGGTTGTTCAGGGCCAGTTTGTCTAACGTGCTGAAGACATGGGCTGCAAGACTCGAAACTGGATTCAAAACCTATTGATTGAGGTACTCAACAGTGGACTGCGCTATAAGTATCTTGTGGCCTACCCCAAAATGTCCAGTACGGAACACCGCCGCTCCCCACCCTCACTTCGGCGTAGGGTTCTTGTGTAGATCTCAGAGTTTAGGATTTACGGAGGTGTGTCTGGAGTTCAGCAACATTGCATCTCACACGTGGAAACTGGAAAAGCTTGCAGCTTCGGCGCAGGAAAAACGAGCGAACATGCCCTGAGAGACCGCAGCGTCCTGTAGGCAGTATGAGGAGAAACCACTAGCATGCTTTGTAAGGTATTCATGCGACACCCAGTTCATGTCACGACATGCTCAGCTCGAGGAACCCTGAACCCTCTACAGAACACATAAAGCCGAACCCTGAACTACGGATTCAACTTTTCGGGGTTTTAGGGTTTTGGACGTCCAGGGTAACCGCGATCTGAGGACCCCAGTGAGCCCTGTTCCAACAGCACACACTGTGGGGGTTGTGTCACCCAAGAGAAGGGGCCCCGATCAAACAGAGCCTGAACTGGCACCTGCTTGGAGGTTCATGGACAGCTACAAGCTACAACTGGGGTGTTGTAAGTAGACTATTTGCAGCCTGAAACTGCGCATGGATGCTATTTCGGGGGACTTCGACCTAACCGAAACTGCATGCTTCGGCCATACTTTCAGGCCTCGATCCGCCCCATCAGGGTTGTAGGCAGAGCTCTGTTCCGAGCCGCATGGTTCAGGCTCAAGCTCAAGGCACATCAAGCATACTCCAAAGTGCAGCAGTGTCTCACCTTCCCCACCCTCTTCACCTCATTGGCCTCACCCACTACCAGGCTTTGAGGGTTTGTCGGTGTCGGGGTTTAGGGGGGTTTAAGGCCCTTTGGGGCTCAAGGGCTTCTCAGAGTATGCGCGCTCGCCCGCCGTGCAACTCCAAGGTGCCTGTGCGGCAGTTTCCGGATGTGGCATTTCTTCTTCTTGAAAAGCCCCTAAGCCCTGAACCCCAAACCAAAAACCCGAAATACGAGCCTAAAGCCTCAACCTGCAAAGTACTACAAGCCGAAACCCTCATCTCGAATCACCGAATCTTTCAGATCCTCGGTTCCAGCAAGGGCATCTTGAGGCCTTTGAGGCCCATCTCGGCGTTATTAGGGTTTAGGGTTTAGGGTTTTAGGGTTTTAGGGTTTTAGGGTTTTAGGGTTTTAGGGTTTTAGGGTTTGGGGTTCATACGCTTCGGGCTTCTGGGGTTTGTCAGGCCCTGTGGGAAGGGATTGATTTTGACACGATCTTTGATGCCTTTGGCCCATGTAGAGAGGCCTTTCCACAAATGGAGTTTACACCGTTTAGGCGGTAGGATGTTGTGCTTAGTGTTAAGGGTTTGGACTGGCTACTGCCCTACCGGCTTTTTTTTTTTGCACTCGCATGACATGGAGGACGGCTCGTCCTAAGCCCTGAACCCTAAGGCCCTAAGCCTGAGCCCCAAGCGTGATCCTTGTGGTAGGGTTTCGGGTTCGGGGTTTAGGATTTCAGGGTTGGGGTTTCCGGCTTAATTAGGACTTGCGCATGGTTTCTCTCTGTTTTAGGGTGAAATAAATATTGTAGGTGTCACAAACCCTCAACCCTAAACATGCCAAAGTGGTAGTCTTCCATGGTTTAAGGTTCAAGGTTATGGGCCCCTGGACGCGTCTTTGCCCTTGGTGACGAGGGTCCTGGGCGCGTCTTTAGGGCTTGGTTTCGAGGCTCTAGCGTCAAAGGCATTTCGGGTTTCGGGAAAATGGCCCAGTTACCGCAAATGCCCGATGCCAAATTGCTCGAAGTCTCCTGTTGCCAAGGTGGCCAGGCGGCCCCGACACCATGTGGCGCTGCTGTGCGCGGTGCTGGGGATCGTCGCCGGCTCAGCCGTGACTAAACCCAAGCCCCTTTAGGACCTAAACTCTAATGAACTTGGAGCTCCACTTAGCTAGCACCATGAACCCTCAGCCCTACACCGAAAACTAGTGTTGTTGGGGACAAGTTTACGCGTCCTAACAGTAGGGTCCCAAGACCTAGCCAGCCCGGGGCTAGAGTCGTGGGAAAGTGCAGGGTTAAGCCCCATTGGCGCTATCATTTTTTGTGTCTTAAAGGGTCCCTAGACCCTAAGCCCTAAACCCTAAGCGCGT